GGGCCCCCCCCCCCCGGCCGCGCGCTCCCCCCCCCCCCCCCCCCCCCCCTCGTCAGTTCTCTATCCTCCCTCGCGCCATGTGCGCGCGCGCGCACCCACACATGTGCATATGTGTGTGTTTGCACATGGACACGCACACATATGCCTCCCCTCCCCTCCCCCCCCCCTGCGGTTGTGCGCGCGCCCTGTGGCGCCCGGCCCATTCACACTCCCGCGGCAGGACAGGCCTCCTCCCTTCCCCCCTTGCCCAAAAGGTGGCGTGCCCCCTCTACCGATACACGGCGGCACACATGCCTTGGCCCTGCCGCAGTCCAATACACTCAAATATCTTATCCTCCCCTCTCCGGGCTGTGCCGTGCCTCCCGGCCTGGCGGGACGCGCGCACTGCCTCGCCCGCAGGAGGCCGCTAGCGTCAGAGGGGGGGGGGGGGGGGGGGGGGGGGGGGTGGACGCCAAAATGGGACAGAGGCACTTGCCAAAAAAGAGAAGAATCAAAAGAAAAAGCACGGCACAAAGGGCAATAGCCCTCCCTGCCCGGCTCTTTCCCACCGTGTCCTTGCGACCAAGCGTGCGGTCCCCTCCCCTCCCCCGGCCGGAGCACAGACATGCCCGACGGTTGGTTCTGAATGTCGATCAGCGCCAAATGGTCACGTTAGCATGCGATAGCACATCGCAGGCAAGCCCACAATCGGCCCCGGGTCCTTCGGGGGTCCTTGCTCTCTTTCCTCCTTCGCACGCCGGCCCGGCGTCGTCTATTCCCTGGTGACACACGGATGGCGAGGCAAAGTCAAGCGGGGACATCTTCTCGGAGGAAGGTCACCAGGCAGCCAGATGCGATGCACTGGATGGTCTCCTGCAGTGGCCCAAGCACGGACTGGGGGAGGTTGTTCTACATGGCAGCCGCCACGGTTGTTCGAAGGGGGGCGTGGCCGGTGTGAGGGAGGGAGGGGGGGGCGGGGGCGGGGGTGGGGGCGAGGGACCGGCCGGGGCGGGCAGAGGCACGCATGGCAGGGCGTTCGGCGTACCTGGAAGTGCAGGTCAATGGATTGGCGCAGGCGCTCGCACGCGGCCAGGCGACCGCGCAGGAGCATGATGGGATCGGCGGCCGGTGCCGAGCCCGGGTCGCTGGTCGGGTCAAGCAGTATCCGGCCCAGCGCCAAGGGGCCGGGCCCCACAACGCAGGCGTCCTGCAGGGCCAAGCGCAGCAGCAGGAGGCGCTCCCGAAGGAGGGCCTGCATGTTGGGCTCCGTGCTGGGGGCCAGATCCTGGAAGCCGAGGAGCGCGTCGCGGACAGCCAGCAGCAGGGCCGGCAGGGCGTCCGAGGGCGGGCCCGCGGCCGGTCCCTCGCGCAGCCACAGCCGATGGGCAACCCTCGGCGAGGACTCCGGGCCCAGGCAAAGGGCCGTTCGGCAGGCGGAGCACGGGGTGGCGGCCGGCATTGGCCGGGCGGCCACTTCGAGGGCCGGGCGCTTGTGCTGCCGGTCGCCAGCCGCCGGGGGATCCTGCGTCAGACGGAGCCAGCGCTTGTGGAAGGACCGGATGCTGGCCACCGTGGCGATGCTGACTCGGCCGTCGCCGGGGCCCAGGGCCATGGCGCCGGACCCGGCGCCAGATGGCCGACCATGGGCCGACAGCCAGGCCTCCTCATTGGCCCCGATGCTGGCCAGCGCCAGGGTGAGGCTGACATCGGCAGGGTCGCCTGGAGCCGGGGCCGACGGCCGAGACGGCTCGTCCCGGGCCAGGGCCGTGCCTTGGACCACCAGCCGGGCGCAGAGCGCGCTCAAGCGCGTCCGGCCGCAGCTCACCGAAAAGAGCAAGGCATAGTGTGCCACCAGGGGAGGGGTGTCTGCTCGGGAGGCGCGTGTGTGCGAGAAGGCGATCAAGTGGAGGAGGGTGAGCGGGCATGGGGGG